GAGCCGAAGGCAGCGGCTTAACCGACTGAGCCACCCAGGCGCTCCTGTCTGCAGCTTCTTTTAATTGTGGTAAAAGACACCAAACATAAAACTTACCATTTAACTGTTTTAAGTGTGTAGTGTAGTTCGGTGGCATTAAGTATACTCACACTGCAACCATCACCACCGCCCATCTTGGAACTTTCTCATCTTCCCAAAAGGAAACTCTGTGCCCATCAAACAACAGCGCTCTCTTGCCCTCCCTACCGCTTATTTTTGTTTGGGTTTGTAGCAAAGTGGAAATGGCTTTCTTCTGAATCCTTACTTAGTTCCAGTTAGCATCTCCCTTTATTTTCAAGTGGTTGTGAGGATTTCGCAGCACAGACCGTCCTTCCTGGCATTCTTTGGTGCTGCCCGGTGTTTCAGTCAACGCCGAATCCCAGGCCAATAACATTTCTGAAGCCTCACTTTGTGCTGTGTTTCCGCACTTAGGGGCCCATGAAAATCTTCTAACTTCTAAAATCTTTTAACTTCTTGCAAGATCCAAAGAAAATGAACTTTTAGGTCAAAGAAAATGTTTTAATATATAATATTCACATGTTTGTCTTTATAGAAATATCATCATGACATATAAATTTAAATATATATATTTTTTTAATGGAGGAAGAGGATCATGAAGGCAAAAATGCCTAGGTAGTACAGTAAGTTACCAACAAACAAAAGAATGGTGAGGAGGAATTGCTGGAGTTTTTTAAGGCAGAAGACTTATCCTTTGGTCTATTTCCATCTTTTAAGTTCTCTTTCTTAAGCATAAATAAAGTCATCTTTAGAACATTTTACATAGCAGTATATATAGTTCAGCAGTATCCTAAAATTTTAGATTTTAAAATTTTAAATTTTAGGTCAGGTCTCTAATTCCTCAGATGTTAAGACATATTGCCAGTTAGTCCTCCTGGAATGATTTTCCAATGTGAAAGAACCCACATGGAAGCTAATTAATTGGACCATTCCAAAGAACTATACGGCATTGGTTTTACGTGTTTTAAGAGAATTCAGAGAATAGTGTGGCCAGGATCACATGTATGAGACTTCAGAAATGTATGGCAGGTGTCCCCGTTACCTGTGTCTTCTGGTATCTTCATTTTGTTCATTTAAATATTCATGACATCTTCATCTTTTTAAGGAAGGGATTGTAAAGCATTCTGATTCCATTCTAGAGCATTTGGTGCCATTCTGAGCAATAATAGGCACCTACCAGCAGCATTTTTGACTTGATGAGATACGCATTTAGAATTGCTCAAATTAGAGTTGTTGATGATAGGAATTAGAATCTTATCTAATTCTAATTCATTTGGCTTAAATTTAGAAGGATGGTTTTCCTTGAAAGCCAGAGTTAGGGAGAAGAGGAAGAATCCTAACTCATTTATGAACTTACCTGAGAACATAAACTTTTTTTTTTACATTTTTAAAAAGATTTATTTTATAATTTTTTTAGATTATTTATTTATTTGAGAGAGAGAGAACACGAGCAGGGAGGAGAGGGAGAAGCAGACTCCCTGCTGAGCAAGGAGCCTGACGATGCAGGGCTCCATCCTAGGACCCTGGGATCATGACCTGAGCCAAAGGCAGACATTTAACTGACTGAGCCACCCAGGCGCCCCAAGATTTATTTATTTTAGAGAGAGCATGAGCACAAGTGTGGGGAGCAGAGGGAGAGAATCCCAAGCAGCAGACTCCCTGATGAGTGTGGAGCCTGACGTGGGGCCATGCCAAGACCCCGAGATCATGACCAAGTCAAAATCAAGAGTCCGATGCTTAACCTACTGAGCCACCCAGGGGCCCCGAGAACATACATTTTTGAAGACAATCTATTTTTCAAAGAAACAGAGTCATCTTTCCTATGTGCCCACTTTCTTAACCTCTTTTCCTCCATCAATCATAAAAGGTTATGAGTCTTTTGAAAGTACTGAACACTGTCCTACTTGTCAAATTAAAATATAAGTTCTTGCCAGAGTCAGAGCTCCAAGTTGCCTGCAGGCGCCTAGATGTGCAACCTTGCACTTAGAAAGATTCCGACTGAGAAGACTTCCCCGTTATAGCAATAGGACTTCTCCCTCCAAGCCCCGTACAGCTACATATTAAGAAATAGGTCCACCTCAAGAGTAAACATGTTAGACTGGAGTGTCCTGGAAAACATACTTTTAATTTCTTGCTTGTCTTCTAACAGTTCTCCAAAGCTTCGCACTTTGGCTAGAGGTTTGTCTCCGGCATACCTGCGTTTTGGTGGCACCAAGACGGACTTTCTCATTTTCGATCCCCAAAAAGAACCGACCTTTGAAGAGAGGAGTTACTGGCAGTCTCAAGTCAACCAGGGTGAACTTTTTAAAGATTTTTTTTTTTTTTTAATTTATTTGAGAGAGAGAATGAGAGACAGAGAGCACGAGAGGGGAGAGGGTCAGAGGGAGAAGCAGACCCCCCCACTGAGCAGGGAGCCCGACATGGGACTCGATCCCGGGACTCCAGGATCATGACCTGAGCCAAAGGCAGTCGCTTAACCAACTGAGCCACCCAGGCGCCCCAGGGTGAACTTTTTAAAGATTCACAATATGTTTTAATTCACTTGAGTCAGTCTTGAGCATTCTCAGAGAAGTGTTCTGGCTGCCATCTAACAGTAAGAAACCGAGGGCTCCCGGCTGCCCGATGGAGGCACTCTCACAAAAGGAGGAAGTAGGGGGCAGGTTTCCTCCTCCCGATGTTTTCAGGAATGTGAGACCTCACACAAAAAATTGTGCTGGGCGTAACTGAGAGTTAATTGTGCTGTAAATAGAACAATGATTGTAGCTGAAGGACACAGCTGCTTAGTGGGAGCATGTGGGCAGAAATGTGTCAAACTGAAAAGAGTATTTCCAGCCGAAGACACAAGCAATGGATTGCAACCCATTTATTCTGAAAATAGAATGTGAATAGAAGGTATACCAAGAGGGTGTGGAGATATGCTCTGCTTCTTAGACTGGATTTTAAGATTTGATTTATTGGGCAGTGACTGTCAAACTTTATTGACTACCCGTAGTCACCTGGGGTGAGTTTGAATATTTGGATTCTGTGTTCCAACCTTAGATTATGAGTTTAGCAAGCTCCTCAGGTGATTCTGATATTTGGAAGTCTGTTGGCTCCCCCTGAGCAACCTGCCTTAGGGAGTGCCGAGGATTTGCCCTATGTCTTTCATAAGTACTTTACAGACATCAAATGGAAGTTAAATCATTATTCTAACAATTATGAAAAATACGGTGTATATATAGTTGAATTATAATAATGTATGCATCATGCATATATTAGTGAATAATATTTCATTATTTCATATATTACATATTTTCCTTCTATTTTCTTCAGGTAGGAAGTGTCCAGAACAGTTAATCAGTAATTGGGCCAAAATTGATAGAAGAGGAATTAGAAAAAAATGAAAAAAAGCAGGAGAATTCTCTTAAAGTGACATATTGGAATCATTTATGCTTAGACTTGACCATTCCCATCAGTCATGTGTGTTTGAAAGGTCTCAAGTTCAGACCAGAAACTCTCCTTTGCTCATCAGTTTTCCTCATCCTGTGTGTATATGTGGTGGGAGAGAGGAGGTGTCAAGTGCCTCTCAAACATACTTTTTGAGCACAGGGATGGATGAGGCACCGGCTGCCAGAAAGCCAGAATGTGCAGCTCCCCAGAAAGGAAGTTGTTGGCGGGTCAGCACGCCCTGGCAGCCAGCGCCCAACAACTCTGCTGCCCTTGTGATAAAGATGTCCGGTCTGCCTGAAAGCATAGTGGTTGACTTTTCCAATTGCCCATGTTGTGGTCTCAGAAGCTTTGAGGATATCGTATTTGAAGGGAAAAAAAAAGTCAACAGTTCCTGTCCCACCATTATGGCAAGAGGAAATCAACCCAAAGCAGATAGAGTCCAGCGAAACAAACTCCTGTGTATTTTGAAAGTGAATCTTAAGAGAATTGAACTATGTTTTCTTCGGTGGGGTTCTAGCAATTTTAAGTTTCTGAGGAGCCTTCTGAAGTGTTAAATAAACTGAAGTCATGTCCAGTGTATCTGTGTCCAGGGTATGTCCAGTGTTTCTTAGGAAACCTGCCCTTTGGTAGTTTTTTGTGTGGTGATTGGTTAGCCCACAAATTTGACGTGTGTAACAGGATATATCTTTCTCTGATCTCATACCAGAAATGTAATTATACTGCTTTAGGCACATAAATAGGTAATGAAATAAATGTATGGGATTGCAACCTTACCACTGTGAAAATAGATCCTCTAAATTATTTCTTCCATTTGCAGATATGTGCAAATCTGGATCCATCCCTTCTGATGTAGAGAAGAGGTTACAGTTGGAATGGCCCTTCCAGGAACAATTGCTGCTCAGAGAACAGTATCAGAAAAAGTTCAAGAACAGCACTTACTCAAGTAAGAGATGAAAGGCACCTGCTGGTGTCCCAGCCCCCAAAATACATGGATAGCTTGAACTTGGGCTTGAACCATGTAAGCCCTATAGCAGTTGTGTTAAGAGTTAATGGAACCTAAAACTTCTGTTTTGTTTTTTTTTTTCTCATTTCTTCACCTGACTTTGCCTACTAGCCATGAAGTGAAATCTAGAAATCATTCACGAGCTAATAATGACCTTTACTGCTCTGAAGAACTAGGAAGTCAAGGAAGACACAGATACAGTCCTTGTGTAAAAGTGAAGTTTAAAAGTATGAAGAGTAAATAATGGGGGCGCTTGACTAGTTCAGTCAGTAGAGCCTACGACTCTTTTTTTTTTTTTTGAGCCTACGACTCTTGATCTCGGGGTTGAGGGTTCGAGCCCCATGCTAGGTGTACAGATTACTTAAAAATAAAAATAAATCTTTAGGGGAAAAAAAAGAGCAAGATGTGAAAACCATTCACACCTCATCATCCATTCCGTCTCTCCTCCCAGAAGCAACCCCTAAATTATGAGTTGGTGTACCATTAGGCAGTGGAAGCCTGAGTCATGCCAGACAGTGTTGGCCATCAAGCAGCTCTCTCTTTTTCTTTCCTCTGTGGCTTTGCAGACATAGAACTAGCTCGACGAACCAGGAATTTATTTCCATTCACTGAAACAGTTATCCAGTCTTCAAAATGGGAAGATGTTGTCATGCAGGGCTTTAAAACAACTGAAACAAGCCGTCCTCATTTAACTATGAAAAATATTTTTATCTGAAAATTGATGTTTTAGACCCAACTAAGGGATGATGTTGCCCCAGATCTCAGTTAAGGGAATAACCTGCTCAGATACTCTACAACTGTCTTTTGATTTTTGAAAAATAAATTATCCTTCTAGAACTAATGATGTAATGTATGGGGATTAACATAAGAATAAAAATAAATAAATAAATAAATTATCTTGTAGTTAATTTGGGTCACTCGGCATTTCTAAGAGAACATTACTGGAAGTAGATCACTTATCTTTGAAAGATTTTACTGGATATTATCTGGATGTCAATGTATCCAATGGATTTTTATTTTTGTATTTTTTATTTCTAAGGTACAGAAAAGATGTGACACATAAGAAATCAGAAAATAGTTTACATGTTAATAGATAATGCAGTCCTCTAAATTACTTATTGCATTTTAAAGGGGGTAGGGGAACAACTCTGACACTTTAATAACATGATCTATGGTTGAATGGAATTTGACATAACACAGGGCCATCTCAATCCCAGGAAGGGAATGACAAGAGTACAAGAGACCCATAGCAGTAGGTCTCACCTATAATAAATCAATAGGATATAGGTCTGCTAAGAGAAGACTCCATGGTGTTAGGTAATCTATTGATTTCTACTTTATTTTGCCTCATGTTAAACATTATACCAGTTTATACCAGTTTCCTACCTCACACAATCTTTCTGGAATCAAGATGGTAGGTTTTCCACCATCTTTCCCTGCCTCTGGGACTAGGACCTTCATAGTTCCTCCACCAGAAGAAAGTTCCTTCACTAACTATATAACTAGGTCATTGTACCTGCAGCCACCCTATTGGCTAAAATATTTAACAAATACGGATAGTTTATTTGCATCTGGAAACATTTGACTCCTGGTTTGAAATTCTTTGTTTTAACATGCATGTCTTAGAAACATATAGATAGGAATGCACTGTGTTTAGTCTGGGCACCAACTCATTATAGTAGGAAGTATCTCAGAAGCCTATAGGTGTTTCCACACATTGTTCTGCACTGACGGCTAAGGTTGGTGATGCCTGAGGAACTTGGGCTGGCATTGGCCAAGGGAAGAGATAGCAAAAGTCTATGGTGGCAAGGACAGTCCTTTAATGTGTCTATCATGGCACCGACTGATTGCTTAGTCAGTGGCCCACACCCTTAACACAGGTGTCCTAGAAGATACAGGCAAGTTTTCCAATTACAGGACCCATTGGATGGTGGGTTTCACTTAAGTAGAAGATGACAAAAACATTTGTCATGAGACTACGAACTGTAAGCCTGTTTAGGCAGGTAGAGGAAGCAATGTTACAGATGTAATTCCGGGTGTGACTGCAAAAAGAACTTCCTTATGCAAATAGTTCTACTTAATGAACTAATTCTTTGCTCTCTGTCTTCTCCACCTCTCTTCCTCATCACCTGAGTCCTCCCCCTCCATCACCCAGTCCCACACTGGAAATGGACACCCTTATGTAAACAGACATGGCATAAGGCCAGAGAAAGAATCAGTGCTGATTCTAGTGTGTCATTTAGATTATCCGGCCCCGGGTATCTTTCCACCCTCTCGTAGAATAAGGGTATTGATTGGGAATTGGATACTTAGCTGTGAGTTTTATTTATTT